CAGCAAACTGGCTGACGGTACACTCCATCCCTTCATCCAGGTCATTGATGAATATATTGAACAGGACTGGACCCAGTACTGACCCCTGAGGGACACCACTCGGTACTGACCTCCAACCAGACTCTGCACCACTAACCACAACCCTCTGAGCTCTATCTGTCAGCCAGTTCTCAATCCACCCACTGTCCATTCACCTGACCCACACTTCCTAAGCTCACCTGTGAGGATGATGTGGGACCACTACAAATTACCACTACCAAATTACTACAATTACCACTACAAACTGAGGGTCTAATTTCCCTGGTGCAAACAGGGTTGGGCATCTCAAGTGACCTAAAAACTCTGGTTGTAAAGAGAGATTTCTCAGGAAGATGTATGGCATCAGAAGCACCAGGTGAATGTATCTAGGAAATGTAGACAAAAACTTGCAGGACTGTCTTAAAAGACCATCCCCTTTTTTTTTTTTAATATTGGAGAAAAAGAAAGAAAGAAAAAGAACAAACAACCCCCCCCAAGTAATGTTTCTACAGCGAGTCACCTGTATGCTCATACATGTTGTCTTGTGGTTCCCTGGGTTCTGAATAAAAATTCTCTTCGCAATGAGCACTAAACTCATTAGGCAGTTGAATGTCCGTGTTCTTTGTGTCTGTCTGTGCGCTCATCGTGGCGGCAGTGGTTGAAATCGCACAGCTGCGAGGAGCCTATTTCTGGGGAAATATATTTAGAGAGAATTGGGTGCTGAAGTTCACGGCTCCGCTTGGAGTTCGCCCACGAGTGTACAAACCGTTTTAAAGAGAGGGAGCTGTCGGGCTGCGAAAGCGCAGTCGGAATGAAGCTGCCCTACTGTATTTCACTTACAGGTGTGGCTCCAAATGGGTCGAGCCACTGGAACTGAGTGGTCTCCGTCCTCGTATAGGTCATTCGAGGAGATGGGGACGGGGTATGGTGTTGGCCCACTGCTGCGTTCCTCTGAAGAGTGCCAAGGGCTTGGCAGTAAGGAGGGAGCACCGCTTTGCTGCGGCGGTGAGAGGCTCTCTCAGGAGAGAGCTCGCCTCCAGCGGGTGCTTGCCACCCAAAATGATGCCATTGAAACGCTGTGGTTTGAGACTACTTCACGTGCTCGAGTGCATTCAGCAATTATTTGTATGTGCTGCATTTTCAAAGAGATATTAGGAAAATATTTATTGCTTTAAATATTATGTTTGAACATTGATAAATGTTTTCCATATAAATGCCACAACTCCAATTCGTCTGCTAAAAGTCTAAACATCTCTTTGGATAACATCGCGACAAGTCTGATTCATACCAGGTCCCGTTTGGGGTTATCAGGATGTTTGTGCCTAGAAGGGTTTTATCAGTTACTAACTGGGATGTAAGCCCAATTAAGAAGTGTCCTTGAGGGTCTGTGTGTGTGTGTGTGTGTGTGTGTAATAGCACATTCCTGCAATGTGTTGTGCTGTGTACGCTTCATTGTTCAGCTTGTGCTGCAGAGTTGTATTAATTATGCACAAGTAAAGGCTTGATGGAAGAGATGTTGGATTTAGATAACAGCAGAACATCGTGCTAGAATAAGGGTACTAATGCAGCATTACAGATAAGCTTGCAGGTTACAACGCTTTACGGAGGGCATAGCATGAGGAAGGCCCTGCTGAGTTTGGACAACGGGCTGGTGGTGGCGAATTGTCAGTGCGTGGGAGATTAATAACGGAGGGGTCCTGTAGACGGAAGATCTTTCCCGCACGCTCTGAACCATGAGTGATTTGCAGCTCAGGGAGCTCCAGCATCAGAGGTGCTAGCTACTGAACAGTCCTTGACGGATTTTTCTCATTGAAGCTTGTGTTAGTTGCTCTTC